TTTTACAATTGTTGTTGCAACTGTTTAATTTATCCCCAATGGAGGAGAACAACTAACTAGTAGTAGATCGTTTTAGTTTGAGACTCCCAATCTACATTTTACGCAGCATGATGAGGGTTCTGACTGTGGAGGCCTGGAGATCACCGGTGACAAAGGCAGGTTCTTGATGTTCCCTCAAGCCTCCTACAAGATCGAGGAGAACAGCGACAAGTTCTCCCCCTGCAGCCTGCGGCACATGAGTCGCATTCTGAATATCAAGAAGGACAAATGCTTTGTAGGTAAGATGCCTTAACAGATTCTGGGATGGGATAGATATGCTAATGAACTTTAGCTCGTCTCAGTCCTAAATCTCACCTTCAATGGGCTTTATCTCCATGGCTGATCAGGGCTTGAGGTAAACTTAACTGGCTGAAGATGTACCTGTTTTGTCTTGTCAGTGAGTGAGCATCCCATTTGTGGAAACCGTATAGTAGAAGAGGGGGAAGAATGTGACGTGGGCCATGATGAAAGTGATCCATGCTGTTACAGCTCAAAGGAACCTGCAGGCATTGAATGTCGACTGAAGCTCGAAAAACAATGCAGGTTTGTATCAATCCATTTTGTGTCAGAATGACCTGTAGACTTTTTGGAGAAATTAAATTTCTTTACTGTAAGGTTCCAAATAGCACCTTCAACCCTTGTGGTCCATGCCTTGGTGTCATAATGTCGAATCGACTGTTGGATAGTAGACCACTGCGAAGAGTGCAACAGTGCAGGCTTTCCAGAAGGATGTATTTATATTGCTTGGGGTGCTAGTGAGTTCCTTTTTGAGCCCTTAAATGACAATCTTGATACGTTATTTCAGGAACCTCCAATCCAGCTACTGCAGGTGCCAACCTGAATAGTTTAGCTACTGTCAATTTAACACCTGAACGAGCTAATCAAGGTCCTCAGGATTATTTGAAACTAAGCAGGTGAATTGGAACAAATCTCTCCTGGAGCTGGTTTGGACCCCTCTGGTTTGGAAGGACTACCGCCGACCTCCAAGGAGGTTAACTCCAACCCTCTTGTGGACTTGATGGAAATTTGTAAATTATGTCTACATAAACAGTACTATTTGGGTTTGGGCCTAATAATGCCTGAACTGATTATGGTACACTAAATCTACCGTTTTGAATATGATCATTAGTAACTGTTTCCCTTATATCTGTCACAGTCCTAGCCAGGGTCTATGCTGCAGCTCCCATTGTGTCTTCAAGGAATTTGGGCTGATGTGTGAACGCCAATCTGAGTGTCGCAACCGAAGTGTATGCACCGGTTCCTCTGCTGTATGTCCAGAACCCGCCGCCAAGCCAGACATGACAATATGCAGTGATGGTACACGTGTCTGTTTTAATGGGGTATGTCCAACAGTAGCCGTGTTTCCATCCAAAGTTGCGAATTTAACTAATGCGCAAAATTGAAATATCACATAAAACATTTGCAAATAAGCACCGCTCCCATCCAACTAGTCAAAGAGAACAAAATCGTCATTTACTGGTAGAACTGGCGATAGGCTGTATATCAAAGTAGGAGAAACCCCTGAATATAATAATTTTCATAGGCCTATATAATAAATTACTTGCGCCTCAGAGCGAGCAGACGAAACAAAAATAAATGCGGTCCTTGCTTTCGGAGGTGGATGCTGCTGTTTGGGAATGCAGTCGTGTAACCATTCTGGGAGGCAATTATACAGAAATACGTTGATGACAGACTTTGCTCAGACATTTCAAAATGACCATAACATTTCAGATGCTGAGGAACGATAGGTCCACTGGTTAGGTTTTGCCGTCCCATTAGCGCAGTCACATGACTTTTTTTGATGCGCATGGAGGAATTTACTCAGCAAATGCGTTTCCATCTCCTTTTATTCACATGAACCCTTTTTCGCACAAATCAAAAACCACCTCAAGCGAGCGTAAAAACTTTTTTGCGAATTAAGGGATTTTTATCCGAAATTTGCCATTATCATCACTCGTTTCTAATGCGATACTTCAAAATGCGCATAAAAACAGGGTGATGGAAACAAAGCTATTGACAATATGGCTATTTTTTGACTATGTACTATTCTGATTTGGATTGTAATATTTAGAACTTGCTATCTGCATTTTGTAATTGATAAAATCTGATATTTGGTTTCTTTCAGTCCAGTGTAATCCATATTCATTCTATCTACATATTTACATTGGTTTCTGATTGGACCATTCAGATTCATCCAGATTTTATACCGGTCTCAAACAGATTTGATGTTTGTCAAAATATGATTTCATGCATTTTTCTGCTATTCAAAATACAATAAAACAACATATTTGAGTTCTACAAAAGTCAGAACAGCCTTGAGGACATATTATGTAATACAAATATGTGATTTAATTGAAAACAGACTATTTGTTTCTTGGGCCAAAGTCATAAAAAACATTATATTGTCATAAATATATATTTGTGGGAGGAAGAAATTAAAAGACAAGATAAACCAAAATAATTGCTTTTCTGGGATGATCAGTATGTGGTTGGGAACTGAGCACATGGAATTATTCATGCTTAATGAGCATAGTAATCATGCAAATTGGGCATATTTTGCCTATTATCCTATCACACAAAGTTACGTCCTCTATAACCAATGTCTTGTGGCTTGATGACACAGGAATGTGGCCTGTCTCTCTGTGCATTGTATGAGATGGTGCAGTGTGACTGCCTGGGAGAGAACAGGATGGAAAAGTGCCACATGTGCTGCCAGCAGAGAGGTAACCACAATGTTCCGCCACAACAGAACGTGTTTACTGCTCCAAATAAATTAGATGCATAAACAGCCATTTGTTTTAATGGACCGTTTGCGCTGACATTACTGCTCCATAAATTTGTAAATAAAGTGCATATGTTCTTGTATCTGACTTGTATTTTTCTTCTTTGGTATTTTCTCTCCATAGATAAACCTAATACTTGTGCAAGCACCACTTCTTCGGTTCTTTTGCACTACTTTAGTGGGAAACATGTGGCTTTGGTTCCTGGGGCTCCGTGCTCTGGAAACCGAGGCTACTGCGACAGGTTCAAAGTGTGTCGAATCCTAGATGCCGATGGCCCAATTGCAAGGCTTAAGAATTCTTTCCTGAAATTGGATGAGTTTGATGACCTGGCCGGTTGGATGAAGGTTTGTTGTTATTATTTGGTCTATTATAGTGCGCTACCATCTTCCCTTATTGCCTTTACTGCAGAGATGTCCTCACTAGTCCTGTGTACAGTAGTAGGACTTTGCTTTAACATTTGTCAAAATTTCCAAGGATACATATTTTGGGCACCAAAACCAAATGGACCAATAAGGAACAACCCAGAGAACCCTAACTGCATAACTGCAAGCTAGAAACACTCTAGTGAATATATGTTTGCTATTATTTGAAACTCCTCTCTTCTCATTTGCAGGCACATTGGTGGGCAATACTTCTGGGTATTCTCGCCATCTCAGCAATAATGGCCGGAACTATCTGTATTTTTGGACAGCCACTTGAGATTGATGACGACAGGTAAACATCTCTCCACTTGGAGCCTTCCAACTGGCAAAAAACACTCCCTGCAAGCAAGAAAGCATTGCTTTTGTGGCTACTTTTGAATGTTTAAAACATTTGACTGATCACTAAAGCCTGTTCAGATGCACAGCTGAGAGTCAACTGCATCTGTCCAAACATGATTTGAGTTTACTTCGCCTCTTCCAGCCATGTGTCTCACACCATTGGCCATTACAAAGTTATTTTAACTCCACTGCTGATTTGAGAATTGAATACTGTCCAGCTTTTCAACTATAAATCATTGTGCTCTCAATAACTTTGTACACAATGTTGCCTATGTTTATTTAAAAGAAATCCAAGAACATGAGACTTCATGAAAATCTAACAAAGACAACATGTTTTTGGGCAAGGTACAATAAAAATGTTACAGTATGTTAACCTATGAATGGCTTACTTATGGTTGTCTCTGGTCATTTGTTTCCTCCGGAAATTACAGGGTCAGAACGATATCAGCAAGGTTCAAATTTAGTGTTTCGCAAACTTTTGGCTATGATGAGTGATTTCACGACGCCACTTTGTTTGAGCTGCTGGATTTGCTTTCACGATTTTATCTCGTCATGTCGTCCTTGAGAGGGGATACCATGATAAGCACTAAGAACTAAGTGACATTTAAGCTCGAATGAGGTAAAAAAAAAAAAGGTCAAGATCCATTTAATAGGACATTATTTGATGTTGTTTTAACATGTTCAATGATATGTGTAAATAATTAAAATAGTTAAATTGTATATAATGAGTAATATGTGTGTCAAGAAATTAGGAGGAAAACGCAAAATAAATGTATAAAACATTCAAGTTCAGATTTCAAGACATTAAAAAAAGGCATATGTTTAGATCAAAGATATAATTTGATGACTTTTTTAACACATTTACAGTTATGTAAAATGTACTTAATTGATGTACAGTACAATACATTATTTAAAAAAAAATGTGTAAAGTGTTGTAGCAGTTTGTACGATGCAGTTGACAGAATAAATGTCAGTTACAGTATGCCTAGGTAAGTCAATTATCGATTTAAAGTGCAAAAGATATAAAAGATAAAAGGTACCAATAATAACACATTACTTATTTATTTGGCATTTAACAGGTGTTTTCTTGATGCAATTTTTTCTTTTGCTCAAACAACATAAAGCATTCAAGATTTTAAGTAATCCCTGCTGGGGAAAAAAAGAAACCATTGCAGAATTTGTAATGGTTTTACTGGTTATAATGGGAATTGTATTGGTTTTAATGGAAACTGTAATGGTCCCTTTGGGTCTCTACTGGTAATTGGTCAACTTCTATTGGTGGCTTGTTAAAAAAATCTTAATGGAATACACTATGTCCCAAAACACACTACAGGAAACCATTTTTTAATGGTTAATTGCTGATTATTTGCAATGGTATTTGTAGTGAAAACCATTAGAATTTCTGTGATTGTTTCTATTGTTTCTTTAGGTTATTTATTTTGTTCAGCAGGGATGATATTGTGTTTAAATTTTCCTCAGAGAAAAGGTACCATCAATGTTGTCCTTGTTGACAGATCAGTGAAAAGTAAACCACTGTTTCTTACCTAATAATATTTTATCCGGACATGCTCAAGACAAATTTTGTGGGCTAAAAGGTCCATTGCTTATAGGGTAGCAATGTTCAAACAGCTGAAACAAACGTAACTTTCAAATCAAGTAGCTTTAACACGCAGTGTTGCCAACTCATTTTCAGGGGAAGTTGCTAAAGGTATAGGTTGATTTGTTGGTAAATTACGTTGTGATGTCATTGCGCGATGACGTCATTATATAATCGCAATGCAAAACTGACACTATATCAAATTTCAGCAAAAAATATATTTTATATATGTTAATTTAGATTTGTACGTAAAATAATATAAATGCATAATATGATATTAAAATATAAATAACTATTTTTACATTCATTGAATTATTGAAAACGTACACATTTTTGAACGATTACAAATTTAAGTTTTTTTATTACCCAGTTAACAAAACTAGACATTCTGAACAATTATACTTTTAAGCAGTGTATTAGTAGTTAGTCAGTATGCTATACTCTAAGAAAAGTCTGTAAAAATAGGGCACAATCTACTAAAATGGAGGAATTTTCCGTATTCGCAGGAACAAGCTACTAACAAGGTGTATCATAAATGAACAATTATTCAATATTAGTATTATTATTCATTTCAATTAAATTAAACAATTGCAAATAGCATCTAACATAATTCAAGTGATATGTGTACTGCTAGGAATTTTGGTTTCCTCTTTTTGTGTAATTTAGATTCAAGATGTGCACCTTTTTATAGTTCAATATAGTATCAAAAGTTTCTAAAAGTTGCCAAATAAATTTGAAAAATAGCTCAATTTGTTGCTTGGTGCTTTTGGAAAAAAATGTTGCTAGGATAGTTGCTAAATTTAGCAACAAAATGGCTAAGTTGGCAACACTGTTAACATGATGAATTTGTGAGACAAACCCATTATGAAATGTCTGTGTGGAAATATTTTGCCCTCACGTGATATTCTTAATCACATGGATTCCTATTGAAGTGACTGGATTTTGCCCACGAAAATTCGCCAAAAAACAACGGTAGGCTAAATGGATCAATACTGTAAAACTTGTTGATTATAATTTCATACAAAATGCTTCAATTATTTCGTAAAACAGATAATAGACAATGCTTGAAAAGTAGCATCATCATTACAAATGCAATTTCAAACACAAATCCAATATTATTCAATAAAATCGATCACATTTCAAGGCTTTTCAAGCCTATGGCTTACCCTAGCACAAAAGTCCACAATCTATTTGCATGAATCACATTCATAGCAACACATCATATATCCAATACAGTACAGTCAGTGCAGTTGCAGTCTTAATAAATAAAAGCTGTATAAATACATGTGTTGAAATGCTTTATCAAAATCACTTGTAAATCCTTTCATTGGCTTTTCAATTTGGGCCTGTGTTGGAACAAAGAAAATTGTAGTTATGAGAACTATTTTAGATTAAATGTAAAGATATTTGCCAAATTCTATTATAGACAATTATAGCTATTGTTACCTTTTAGATAAAGACCTCCATGGCTCCTTGCATTTCACAAATGCAACGTCCTGAGTTGAACTTCCTGTTTGGGGATCTTTCAAACACAACACAATCCTAAAAAATGAAGAATGAAAGCTTTTAAAATTGCGTGAATGTTAATGCACTGAGAAATAAAACATCAGATCAGGTGTCTTTTATTGTGAAGAAAGCTACATTTTCCACCAAAATATTTTGCGAAAATTTGTTTGAAATGATAAAACAGTATTAAGTTCTAATTTATGTAGAAAAACTGTCTCCAAAAGCTTTTTATGCTCACTATATCAAGTAAAAATCTTAGAAACATACTTCTTTTGTGTCTCCCCAACTCTGACTCTGATTTTATGGACCTGTATGCCAGAATTGGCAGAATCTCCATACCACCACGAGGAGAGCAGAGTGAGTAAAGAGGATGTGGACTCCTCCAATTTAAACTTCAGCATCAGAAGATCTCCAGTGTCCTTCTCGGTTACCACGAGGAATGAGTGAGTTTTATTGGGGGTGATCTTCTCCTGTCTGCTTGATGAAGTTAGTGAAGATAATTAGCAAACGGAATTTGACTCGTATGCACACTATATAGTGATCGTTAAGAAGATATAATCTTTTGATTACTCACATGTTCAACTTGAGATCTTCTGCTTCACCATTGGTACCGTAAAGTGAGACTGTCAGTGCTGGCTCCATCGCTAATTGATTTATTTTCCCAAGGAAGTTGATTTTCAGCTGATAATGGAAAACTGAAAATAAAAAAAATGAATAAATGTTTTAGCGTCCCACAGCCAGGGATATTATCGTTAACTAAAACTAAAACCATAAAATAAAAAAAAACTTGAAATAAAAAATCAGCTAACTGCCAAGGCAACATTTAACATTTTTTTAGTTAAAGACTAAAAAATTGATTTTTTTCCCCCCTTGAGTTTTTGAAAAGATTCGCATATAGACGACAAAATTGTCAAAATGGTCCTTGTTCACACGGATCCGCGAAAATTACTAAAAATGCTGTATTATGTATACCGGGACAGTAGTTGGCAATGTCACTTTGTAAAGAAACTCGTGCATGCATAGACTGAACATGTAATACGCATGTAATACGCGTGCGCATGATGTAACGGTTTTCACAAATTCACATTTTTATAATTTACGTGGAGGTGATAATTGTATCATTTTCAAAACCATGCACTTTAAAACACATTTTCAAAAATGTGCTTTTTAAGTTCCCCAAAATGCAATTGACGTGTAAATGAACGGCCGAAACGCATAAAAGGGTTTTCATTTTTAATTGAAAACGGTATTGTCTGAACTCCCGCTAAAACTAAAAGCCAACAAAACTATTGTTTAAATTACAGTTTCAAAATTCCTTCTCTGAAACTTGACACTGACCTCTGAACGGCATGGAGCCTCGTGTTTTGGTGAACATCTTGATGCTTCTTGCCTTACGAACTTTGCTGACGTCATAGCCCACGGTGTTGCAGCGGTTCTTGCGACACTGGAGGCACATGCCGCGGTCGAACATGTCATTGCTCCCGCAGCTGTACGCTCTGCTAGCTTCTTCCTCATTCAGCAGGGAGTCGATGAACAGGTGGACGGACCGCTCATGCTCGCATCTGATAGCATTATTTAAGGCTAAGGATATTAATGAAACATAATTGATATGATTTTAAACTTAAATATGATCTTTTAAGTCATATATGTAAATAATCAGGTTTTTAGCAGTGATGATGAATGATTTCATTGTAGAAAGGTTGCCAAAACAGATTAGAAAGCCAGATTATGAAACATGTGACACACACAACCTACTCCTGATACATAACTAATCTTTTTCCATCTTTGGGAAAGTTACAAATAACAGGCATTTTTATCAGACAAATGTTCAGTGCAGAATGCAGTATTATTTTATTCATAGCAAAATAATTCAGAATTAAATTCTTAATAAAAAATATGTATAAATGTATTAATTGTATTATTTTAAAATGTATTCAAACATGTAAAATGCTTTTTTTGTGTGTTTAAGTGAATATTTTATTTAGTGCTATTAGCATTTTCAACAAATCAGCATTATTAATTCAAAAATAAGAAACATTTATATATTTTACATTTTGATTTATTTATTATTATAATTTATTATATTGTATTATTTTCATGTATTTAATTACTTTTTAGTGTTGTTCAGATTTATGACAAATCAGTATTTATTTGATTAAAAATAAGAATTTATTTACTTAAATTAAAATGTATTTTATTTAAAAATATACAATGTTTAAAACATTTAGATTTTCAAATATTACATAATGTGTGTCAAATTTCTATGATGCTACAATCAACTTTTCATCAATCAACAAATTCAACAACCAGTGGCCCCATGTGCATGTATACGTAATCTTACCATGTATTTTGAGGAAATATTGTGGTAAATAGTGAGCAAACACGTACTGTAGATGTCATTGTGAAAAGCGCTACACAAATAAATTAGAATTTAAAGTGCCCCTATTATGCCATTTTTAAGGTTCCTAATATTGTTTTGGGAGTCTCCTACAATAGGATTACATGCATGCAAGGTCAAAAAACGCTTT